AGGCCGGCCAGCGCCCTGTGCTGAGGAGGCCGCAGCACTGGCCCTGGGGCTGTGCCCGGGGCCACTTACGGGGTCTCAGCTCCGGAGACAGGCCCTCCACCTGCATCGGGCACTGGGCTGGCAGCAGGAGGAAGGCTGGGCCTTCCTCCTGGACTGCCCACCTCACCCTGCTCTGGGCTACGCACAGGCCTGGGAGAAGGCCAGCATGCTTGCCAGCACCCTCCTTAGGCTCCAGTAACAGCCGGGGGCCCTGGGCCTGGCTGCCCACCCCCACCCCCAGCGACTCAGGACCCAGGGGGCAGGTCACCAAGATGAAGGGCCTGGCAGGGAGCACCCAGGGGTCCCTATCCAAGGGGACTCAGAGGTGGGGGAGGACGGGCAGAGAGCCACCACGCCTGGCTGTGAGGAGGCCGCCCTGGGGTAGGAGAATGGGGAAGCCCCAACCGGTGCACCCCTCCGGCTGCCACTCAGATCAGTGCACCCCCCACACTCCCTGGCCCCTGGAGGGGCCCCTGCTGCCTGCCCCTATTTGTGGCTCCTCTGTCCCCACAGACATGCTCAGGCCCAACCAGCCTGCTGTCCGGCCCGGCCCACATCCCCCGGGAAACGCCAGGTGGGCAGCCACCCACCCCGGCTGGCTGTGTGGCCCTGGCGGGGGTGAGGGGCGCGTGAAAGGAAAGGACTGTTACGATGTCTGAAGAAGGTGATGAAGGCCGAGTCGGTGGGGCAGGAGGGGGGGGTTCTTCCCCCTCCTTTCTGTGGCCCAGGGCCCCTGCTAGAGCCCCCGATGGCCACCAGGGGGCGCCCATCCACCCGCCTCCTCTCCCAGAGTGACCGGATGACCAGGGTGTTGGGGGCCACTGGGGTGCTGCCCGCAGGGGTCCCCCACTGCAGACGGGCACTCCAGGTCCAGACAGGACACCAGCGCAGCCACACCCGCTGGCCAGGCCCTAGCGTCTGGGTTCCTTAAGGGGGTGGAGGGTCCAGAGGGTCCTGGCCCAGCAGAGACCACAGGCAGGGCAGACACAGTCCAATGGCTCAGGGAGAGGGAGGGGGTCCTGGGCAGACACAGCCCAATGGCTCAGGGAGAGGAGGGTCCTGGTCAGGACTGGACCCCAGGGCAACACGCTGGGGTGGCTCCACCTGCTCTCTGGCCTCTGCAGCGAAAGCTCGCGGTGGTGGGCAGGACCCCACGCGCCCACCCCGGTCACTCACATGACCTAGAGGCGCTTGTCTCCTGCCAGGCCTACCCAGAGCCACCTCCTCCAGGCAGCCTTCCCATTCAGGGGTGGCCCCCGCCCCGGCCCTCACACATGCTCAGAGCAGAGCCCAGGTCGGTCCCTTCGCGGGGGCCAGCGAGCCTGTCAGAGCCTCTCCTGGCTCTGAGGCGGGAGAAACGGGCCCCAGGCCTGCACGGAGCAAGGCTTTGGGCTCATTTGCTCCCAGACGGGGAGGGGAGCTCAGGCTGGAGCCCACCCGAGCTGGGCAAGGGTGGGCACCCAGACACTCCAGACGGGCCCTGCCCGTGGGCCTGCAGGTCCGCGGACACTGAGCTGGCTGTGGCGGCCAGGCCTTGTGGGGTGGGTGAGGGGGTGCTGTGGAGAACGGGGTGCCGGAGCTACAGAGGCACAGGACAGCCCTGAGAGTCTGACAAATGGTGATGCTCCCAGCGGGGGGAGCACAGACGGGGAACATGGCTGGGTCACCCCAGGCACCAAGTGCCAGGCTACTTCCTGAGGGCACTGGGGAGCCATGGAGAGTTCCAAGCAGGGAGGACATCCAGGTGTGTGCTGTGGACACCTCACAGGGGGTGAAGGTGGGGCAGAGGCCAGGGCCCGCTGCTGGGACCGGAGCGCTTAGCGTCACCGCTCTGACCCTGCTGTCCCACCCCCTCCACTCAGGACCCTGGCATCTGAGAGGCCTCTGTGCCCTCACACTCCCTGAGCTGGCCTGTGCCTCTGGGGGAGAAGCTGTTGATGACCCAGACCCAGGAATGGGGAGCTGGGTGGGTTCTTGGGCTGAGGCCCTCAGGGCATCCAGCCTGAGAGAGGAGGCCTCTACCCTGGAACCAGGGGTGGCACTAGAGCCACCTGAGCATGGCGGGAGGGGGGGGGGCGGGGACACAGGCCAAGGAGACCCAGGCCAGAGAAGCCCAGGCAGCAGGACCTGGAGAGGGGTGTTGGGGTGACCCCCATGGTCCCTATTGTTCATGGCTAGAGAGGGCAGGAAGAGCCAGCGGCTGGAAGGCGGGGGGCGAGGAGGCAGCTGGCCCAGCCTGGGCTCAGGGAGGAGGGG